GATTGCATGAATAGATAATTTTTTTATACTTTGGTCTTTCGCGAAATTGGAATTCGCGACACTTGCCAAAGCATATTCTGATTAAAGTTTATGAGCAAATATTGAAAGGTAAGTTTTGGTTAGTAAGCAGGTTGATGCAGTTCCTAATAGAGTTAATGAAGTTGGAGAAAACTGTAACGCAAAATCAAATTTTTACTGATGAAATCGAGAAGAAGCCAACTCAATCTACCATAAATCGACAGTTCCGAAGTGGCGGACAATTCAAAAATGAAACGTCGGCCTTAACTGTTGTTAAAGCCACTAGATAAGATAGAGAACAAGATCTTGTATCTTCTATAATAAGGATCATTGCGACGACAAATGTCGAAACTATCCAACCTTGAAACAACAACTAAAGTGTTTGAATGAAATTAGCGCCTGCCTAAAATGCATGAAATTGAGCCATAGCGCAAGCAACTGTAGAATGAAAATAACACGATGCTTCCACTAAGCACCCTCACAAATCAAGCGTCCTCACAATGTAACAGACATGTAACAGACATGATATGAGCGCTACTCAAACGAACAAAATAAGTAAAGAAAAAGTGGAACCAATGTATACAACTAATTCAGTAACTGATCAAAAGGATCCATAAGGAAAGAGAACTTTACTATTGTATAAAGAAGTTAGCGCAGTCAATCCTGAAGCTCCGGAGATAGAAACGCATACACCATTATTATTTGACCAAGATGCGCAGTTGTCATTCGTTTCAAAGGATTTAGCGAATCGACTAAGCCTACAAGGAATTATAGAGGCAGAAATAAGGATCGCTTCATTCGGCGACAAATAAACATGAGAGCTAAACCAGGATATTTCTTGTTCCAAGCAAAGTTGGGTCGATACTGGATGGAACTGAATATTTGAAACTGGTTGATCCTGAATGTCCTACAAATAATACTAACAGTGTGGATACAGTATGAGTCGAGAGTGCTGCAACGTACAAGACTAAAGTAAATAAGGACCATGACACTGATCGTTTGTGGGAATTGGAACTCACGGGCATTCAGGATCAACCTGATGAAAATGACGACGAGCAAGCTCCGAAACAATTCAAAAGGAGTATTGTCAAACAGAAAGGGAGATATCAAATCAGATGGCCATGGGAAGAATCAAAAGATAAATTAAGAGGTCATTATGGACTCTGCGTCGGGCGCCTTATGACATTAATTAAACTAGAGAATAATGAAATATTGTTCACACAGGATGATAAAACTATTTGAGATCAACTTAAATTGGAAATCATCGAAGAAGTTCATCCCGAAATGGATCAAGAAGGCGTCATTCACTATTTACCACACCACAAAATTATAACTCCAGATAAAACGACGGAGCTGAGAATTGTTCACGATATTTTGGCTCTTAAAGGTACAAAAAGCCTAAACGATGTTTTGTATCGTGGACCTGTAATGCTCTGATTTGGTCGGAATACTCCTCCGCTTTCGAATGATGAGAAACGTCATTACAGCAGACGTAGAGAAGGCATTCTTACAGCTAGAAATGCATCCAGTTGACAGAAACTGTACCTGATTTCTCTGGATGAAGGATATTGGAAAACCAGCCACCGAACAAAATACAAAGTGCTATCGCTTCAGAAGAGTTCCCTTTGGAGTAGTCGCATCACCCTTCCTTCCTGCAACACTGAATTACCATTTAGAAACCGATGGCAGTAAGACTGCGTCGGAGACTAGAAAAAATTTGTACGTGGATGACATTATGCTATTAGTTAAAGGAATGAGAGCAGCGTTGGAGAAGTACCATGAAGTGAAGAGTATTTTTAAGGAAGCAATAATGAATATTCGGGAATTTCTTACTAACGACGAAAACTTAATAAGGGGATAGCCAAACAAGACCAAGTCAATAGAGGCTCAACAAAAATTCTCCACGTCACTTGGATAAAGATATAAGGGTAACATTTAGACTATGGAATGAGCAGAAGATCACAAAACGGAGCATTCTACGCTTTGTTGCTTCTCAGTATGATACTCTAGAATTTCTAGTTCCCACGATGATACTACTCAAATTATTTCTTCAAAACCTATAGAAAAGGAATAAAACTTGGGATGAAATTCTAAACGAAGAGTACGAAGAGAGGTGGAAGTCTCTTATCAAGAGATGGCCAACAGATATTATCGAAATACCGCGGGTGGCCATAAACTCTACAAAACGAATGCAAATTCATGTCTTCACGGAGTTTCAAACGTAGCATATGCAATAGCGATATATGTTCTAAACAGCAGTGCTAACATCACTGATTTTCGCCAAATCTAGACTAGCTTCAATTAAAGGGATGAGCATACCTCGATTGGAAATACTTATTGGTTTACGAGCAGTAAAGTTCGTCACGAAGCAATTAGAACTAAACGGGTGTCCAATAACCCTTTGGTCAGACTCGAAATGTGCCCTATATTGGATACAAAATCATTCAAAATTGCTGCTAAGGTTCGTACAGAATCAGGTTGAAGAAATACGAGAAACAAAAATTCCATTTCGATATATCCCTAGTGAGTATAACCCTGTGGATATTGCTACAAAGGGGATTCCTCCAGGAAAACAAAAGGAATATGAATTATGATGGAAAGAACCGCAATGGCTAAGAGAACCCAGAACTAAATGGCCTCAATGGGAAGATCAGACTATGAAAGAATAAGAAGACGAAACAGAAGAACGAATCATTGCAAAAAGTCACGGACCGAGAAATCGAGAGTACAAACTTCTGGATCATCGATGCAAGCCGATTTAGCAAGTAGTCAGAACTGGTTAAAATGATTATTTGGGTTCTTATATTTATTAAAAAGATGACAAAGGGAAAATTATATGGTTAAATTCGCTATCGGCACAAGGACATCGACTAACAGCTGAAAATCATAAATTAGCTGAGTGAGTGATCATTAAACGAGCATAAACAGAAAAGATTACCGAAGAAATAGAGAAATGGAACTTATGCTACGACGAGGACAAATTATGGAAATAACAAAGTCGCCTAGAAAATTCCGAATTGGATGAACAAAGCAAACATCCAGTTTATTTACAAGACATAATGCAGCTATCGAGTTTTTAGTACGGGAACAACATGAGGCATTATACCATGTCGGAACCGCGCATACCCTCAGAATTGAGACGTAAATTCTGGATGCCAAAGGCCTAACTGAAGCCAAACGCATTATCAACAACTGCACCGGCTGTAAACGATGGTCAGCAAAACCATTCAAGTTGCCCATCATGCCGAATCTGCCAGAAATACGAGTCAATCAATCGGGAGCCTTTGAAAATGTTGGTTTTGACTATCTAGGTCCTCTCTCAATCAAAACTAAGGGCGGAATATCCAAAAGATGGATTGCCTTATTCACATGCTTTATCACAAGAGCAATACATTTAGAAATAGCAGATAATCTACCTGCGGAAACTTTTCTTCACGTATTAAGAAGATTCATATCCCGACGGGAATATCCAGAGCGAGTTTTAAATGATAACGCGGGTCAATTCCAATTAGTCTTTAAAACTATAAAGGAACAGCATACAAGATTGATGGAATTCTTGAAAAAGAAAATGATCTGGGAGAATATAACTCTAAGAGCATCCTGGAGTGGAGGAATCTATGGACGATTGATTGCATTGACAAAGAGAACTATGAGAAAAACCATCGGAAGGAAGCTACTATGGGAAAAATAATTCATAACTTTAATCGTGGAGATAGAAGGTATCTTAAACAATAGACCACTGACGTATGCCAATTTTGACGATAGTAAGGTAATACGTCCAGTTGATTTCATCCAACCCAATGCTTCCTTAGTTATACCGACAACTAATACCAATCAGGATGAATACATGCCAGAAACACTGAACGCGAGGGAACGACTAATTAAATATTGGACGGCTACACTCAAGGTACTTGATACATTTTGGGAATCATGGAAAATAGAATACTTGACAAGTCTCAGGAACGAACTCAGAAAGAGGACGTATATCCTAAAGTCACAGAGAATCGTTCATCGCGAGTAAGAGAAATCGTACTGTTGGATAAGCATGAAACTCCTCGGAGTCTTTGGAAATTAGCAAAAATAAAGGAACTTGGGAAAGGCGGAGTACAAGAGCTGCAGCAATAGAAACTCCGAATAGAAAACTCACAAGGCCGATAAACGTGTTATATCCCCTCAACATCGAATCTGATAGAAAGAGAAGAGACTAAAAATAAACCAGAGAAGAGAATATAAGCTAACAGTGAACAGTATAACACAAAGACATCTCCATATCTACCATAGGCAATAAATGATATCCATTGTACCTACACAATGGACAGTGCCAAAAGGCAACCATATCTCCATGATAACCCCAATAGAGCTTAAAAAACTTCCTAACCCTTTTATATATATATATATATATATATATATATATATATATATATATA